CCCCCGGCGCAATCGCGCACTGCCGTTTGCAAGTCAAGCCCGACCTGGCCCGCTGACGCTGGGCCGCGACGCCGATGTCCTGGATCGCGCATTCCGCGTCCAGGTCACGCGCGAAACGGCGCGCCGCGTCGGCCCATCTCGGCCCCGCGGCGCTTGCAGCGCCTTTGTTGCGCGCTCCTCGACCGGCGCGCGCGTGGATCGCAAGACGAACACCCCCGCCCTCCGGCGGCGGCTTTTCCACGATTGGCCTGGTGAGTTTGCCAGTAAGATGCCCGATAAGTGTGATGCAAGCTTGCGCGCGCCCTGTGGTGCGTCGTTGCGTCTTACTGCATGAATGCAGCGCGTGCTGCTGCATTGATGCGCCGCGCTTACACAGCCAGTGCGGCTTCGCACGCGCAGACACGGCAATGGCAACTTACGTACCTCGCCGCCAAGTGCATTGATCGGTGTTTCATGCCTCGGACAAAAAGCGGCGCAACAGCATCCTTGGTAGCAACATATTGAAGGACTTCAATCGCGCCGTCAACAGGTGCAAACTTCCACGTAAAACGCAAGAGACCAAACGAACATGCATATGTGACCCGTGAAAGCTTCGCACGACAAATGCTGTAGACACTGCCGCTGCGGGCCCATCCGCTCACAGGGGGTTCGCGCATGCCCGCTGGCGGTGGGTTCTGATCCGGATAAAAGAACTAGGCCTAGAAACAATTAGCCCCGAATGCGCCTCCCCGACGGACGCCATCCGCCCGCGGTGAGCGACGCGGTCGCGCGTGGAACCCCTTCTGCCGGATATCGGCGCGAGCCTCGCGTGCATCTCCACTTGCAAACGCATCCGAATTACAAGGGCCAGCTTCCTGGCGGGCGATCTCACACCCCCCGGGCCCTGCCCGCAGGCCGCTGCAAGCGGCGCCAGCTGGGCGCGGCTGCGTCGCGGCGTTGAGGGCCGCCTTCGGCGACGCCTGCTACGGGGGCAGCAGGCGGCCCAGGCGCCGTGGGCCCCACGCTGCACCTGGGGGGCGGCGAGCCCCCCCTGCCCCCAGCTCGCTCGGGACAGTTCCACGAACTCGAGGTCAGCAAGCGCGGGGAACGCGGGCACCGTGCATCGACGGCCTGGCATCTGGGCCGTGGCTGGGCCACTTGCTGCGCCCGTCTTCTCCTGAAGCGCAAGACCTGAGCCCCGCCCGCCCGATCTCAAACTGACTTACGGGGCCTTCGCCACGCAGGCCAAAACTTCCCCCATCTGCGGCATTGGCACTTACGGGAGAGGACGCTCCCATCAGCATCGCGGTGCAGACCGCGCATGCAAACAGCCTTGCCCTGGCTCGTTCCCGAGCTTGCGGAGTGGCCGAGGCTCATTTGCGCGAGGGCCGCGCCCTGCGTCGCCCCCTTGGAATCGCCGCGAGAAACATGGAGGTGGCGCGACGGCGCTTTCGCCGTGAATGGGACCTCATTGGGGCCTGGAAATGGGCACCAACACCAACGCAAGGGGTCGCCTCCACAGGGGGAAGATGATCCTAGATTTCGGTGTTGGCGGTAATATGTCGGTCGCCCTGGAAGCCAGAATATTACCACCACCACCGAGATCGGGATCTTCTTCCCTCGGTGGAGGCACACCGCCGATGCTGGTGTCGGCGTCAACCTCTAGGCCTGCCCCCTTGGCTTCAGCAGGAAGCTTCGGCTCGACAACTCCCCGTCCTAGAAAGACGTGCCCCTCATTTCCAGGCTCGAGTATAACGGCGGCCCGCCTCTGCCGCAAGCCAGCCAAGCTCCAGGCCGCCAGCGAGTCCTTGCCGCGTCCAGATGCTATGTTCGGCCTGTCGCGCGCAACCTGAGCGCGGCCTTCTCAATTGCATGCGAGGTCGAAGGCGCCGACTTCGTCGGTTGGCGCGCTGCACTCCCCCACCAAATGAACGTCGCAGCGGGGTCGGCCACCTGCCGCCGTCTTCCCGGCCGCATTGGAGACGGAAATAATGATCCTGGATCCAGGTTTGAACGGCACGTTAATCCGACCATTGGGGGGAAACGTCGTAGAAGTCTGTTGAATGCGGACTTCCGCCGTCGAATCCCCACTCCTGCGCAGCAACGTCGAGTAGTCCTTCGCGGAGATTTGAACCGGAGCCCCCCCGCTGATTCGAGCCGTCGTTGATCCCTACGTGGCGATCTGGATCAGGACCGCGTTCGCCACATTTCTCGTCGGGCACCTCCGCTCCCGCATGGCTAATCATGAATTTAGCGCGGTCAGTGTCAGGTCAGCTCCCTTGATGCAAACTGGCAAAGCTTACGCTGGCGCAGATCTTCAGCCGCATCTGGGGCTGGTGCTGGTTAGACTGCGTGCTGGGGCTCGGGGATGAGTGCTTGCTGTTGAAAAGTCAGCTCATGCACGGATCCCCCGGAGCTCCTTTCCCGCACGCGTGTCCCCTCGTCGTCTGGCGGCGCACCGACCAAGCGAAACCTTGCAGCAATGAGGCAAAAAAAACTGCGCATAGCGCGCGTGGCAGCCTGAACCCAGACGGCGCAAGCTGTTCACGGAATTTCGCACGCCGTCGGTCCGGCAGCCCTCAAGGAATGCGTGGCAAAGCGGCATGCGAAAGGCGCGCGAACTGCGCTCGAGGGCGCCCAGGCAGATCGCGCAGGTGCCGTCCGTGCCGAAGAACTCAGTCACGGGGTCCACCGCCAGGTGGGCGCGCACCTGCCTGGCCACAACTCCTTCTCCAGAGATCATCCAATCGCGTAAGCTCGTTTCCGAACTCGGCTGGCAGCTGCGCCGCAGGCAACCAACGAGCACTACTCGCAGCCGGGCTGCTCGTAGTAGGCAAGTACCCCTGCGCCCCTCTTCCGATTCCCTCTGGGCACTGGCGCGCTGACCGCTGACGGCTCGCCTCGCTATAAAGGCGGATGGCACTGTTGCGTTGCGCGCTAACATACTGCGTCCGGCATCAGCTGCGGAGATTCGCCGGTATCTGGCGCCCGCCCGCGTCCACGCAGGCAGCAAGAGCCCGTGCGCGTGCGCCCGCCTGCTCCGGCGTAATCTTAGACCCCGCATAGGGCGTCGTAGTTGGGTCGCTGCGCTGAACAATGCCCAGCGCGTGTATCTGCCCCCGGTTGCCTGTCGTCGTGGCACTGGTAGGCCTCGGCGCGCATGGGGACGCCAATCGCCAGAGCTTGCGGTGGCGCCATGGCCAGAGTCGGATGCGGCATCGAAGCTGGGGCGAATTGCCGGCTCTGCGCACGCGTTTCGGCCGCGCGTCAAGGGGACCAGCTCCATGGCGGCGCCCAGCGAATCGTCCCGAATCGGATCGCCGCGCCAGGCTCTGGCTGGCACCAGCCGGTGCTGGTGAAACGGACCGAATCGAATCGAATCGAATCGTAGGCGGCCCGCAGAGGAGGAGCGGGAGAGCAGAGGAGGGTGAGACGGCGGGAGGCAGGACGCGGAGTGTGAGGAAACCAAAAGGCACCGATGCCACATTGTCCCCGGACCTCTCCAGGGGTGCGTCCGGACTAACATTTCGCTGCGGAAGCGGCCGTGGCGACGAGGACCTCCCACAGGAGGCCCAGAAGGGCAACACCAAAGTAGGGGTAGCGGTGTCGGTGCCTTTTCCTCCTCTGAGAAGGGGAGGAGCGGGAGGAGGGCACGGGCCCACCCTGCTTTGCGGGGCAAGAGCCGTATTCATATCCACTGCCTTCCCGAGAAACCAGAGGCGCAGTGGATGTGGATCGAGTTCTGGCCTCTGGAGGCACATTCGACTTCTATCCACATCCACTGCGCCTTGGCCTTTAGGCGCCCGAACGCGCTCAAGTAGCTAAGCCGGCACCGCGACAAACCAAACGCAAGCCCTGCGTCCGAGGCGGAATTGGCCCTGGTGGCCGAGGCGCCCTCCGCAAGACGCAAGGCGACGCGTCGGAGCAAGCGGCGCGGCGACATGTAAATCTGGCCCTCATGTTCGGGCGTGCGTATTGATAGCGTCGTCTCCGGCCCCGGCTGCCCCCCCCCTCAGGCAACGTCACGACTCGTGCTGACCTCCGAGCTGTCTTCGGCTATTCCTTGGCATTTCCAGACGGCGCCGGCGCGAAACGTGACGTTACTGGCACCCACGAAGCTGAAGCCAGAACGATGATAACATCGGGTGAGGATACATCGGGAGTTTTTGAGATCCGGCGGCTCTGGAAGGTATCTCGGGAGCCGCGGCCTTCTCAGAGCGTTCCGCAACGCTCTGAGAGCGTTCGCTCTGGAACGGATTTATCCTCGTCCCACCCCCGTCCGATTACTGGACCCCTCCAGCCCCCCCGTGGTAACACCCGTTGTCGCCCAGGAGAGAAATACGCTCTTCACGCGGGTTCCAGCCGCTTCTGCTTCTGTGTCGCTTTCTGGCCCCGCGGAGACAATTCCACCTTGCACGATCAGCCGTTTCCGACACGCTAGATCATTCAACATCTACCGGTTCTGGGTCGGCTGCGGCGCTCAACGTTGAACGCTGGCGGCAGGGTCAGCGCCGGTCGATACGGCGCGAACCTAGAGAACGTTTTCCTATTCGGCGTTTCGACATTGGGCGGAGGGGGAGGAGGGGAGGGGAAGGGGGGGGAGTCTGGCTCCAGACCTCTGCTTAGTGCGACTGCTCTCAGCAGTGCGTCCCATGGGGGAGGCTCCACCTGCTAGAAATGGGCGCCCAAAACGGCCAAGATCCGCTCCAGTGGAGGGGGAGGGGGTGCGCGAGGGGCCGCGCCCATTGGCGAAACAATGAGTATGGAGGCCTCCCCGATGGGGTCCGAGTAGATGGAGTGGAAGGATCGCGCTGCTCGCCAATGCAACGCCGATGTATCGGCGATGCATCGGCGATGCCGGCGCGGGGAAGCACGGGCTCCACATCGAGCCGCATCGTCGATGCATCGGCGATGCGGCACGATCCTCCGACCCCATCTACTCGGACCCCATCCAGGAGCCCTGGAAAAAAAAACGACGACCTGCCGTGAGGGCCCTGCTTGCACACGCGGGCGCCAGCCGCCTCTGCCTCGGGGTCCACACGTCCTCCGTCCTGCCCCGCAGCGCCGCCGCCAGCCGCCGCAGGTGCGGCGGGTGCTCCCAGGCCTGCGGGCCGCGCCGACGACTCCGCCCGGGCCTCGCGCGGCGCCACCCCGACGGGGACTCCAATGTCTACCTGTCAGGCCACCCAACCCAACCCGAAGATCCGAACTTCGGGTTGAGGGGGGGGTACGGGTTTCACAAGTGTTCTTCCAATGTTCCCCGACCCCCTCACACTGGAAATGAAGGGCAAATCGGGGAATTCGGGTTGGGTTGGGGTGGTTTGGTGGGCGGTGATCCACTGTCCAAGGGGCGCAAAACTCTGTTGCATCCTCGGGGGACCTTGTCTCTCTCGTCGCGGCCCTATCCGGGCCGAATCCGTGTCGAAACCGCGTCGGCCTCGGCGAATCCGTGTCGAGTCCGTGTCGACTCCGCGCCGAATCGAAGCCAAATCCGAGCCGAGTCCGCATCGAATCCGCGTCGTAGCGTCACCTGGGGCAGGATGGACACCTGGAGCGATCCGGAACAAGGGACCGATTTTGAGCGGACTTGGGCAGGGCGGGTTGTCTCGAATGGCCCTCTGGGAAGAAAATTCACTGCTGGAGCCGAAAAAGCCCAATCTGAAGTGCCGTGCGGTGGCCGCGGCGAAAGCCTGCGGCCAGCCGGTCTCTGGCCTGATGGCTCCAACCGTTGCGTCACGGCGCGTGAGCTCAGTCGCGCCACGGCGAGCTGAGGACGGACACGCAGGCTGGCACCACAGAGACGGGCCCGACCGGAGTCAGGTCCTGGACACTGGGGGGCTGTCCCCTGGGACCAAGCATTCATGCTACGGGTCCTCCGCCCTACTCCCTGGTAGCATATACTCCCACTATGCCACCTGGCTGGCCGAGAAAGACTCCAGCCATGCCGCTCCATCTGAACAGTCAAGCTCAAGACAGAGTCGATGGTTCCCTCTCAGCATGGACGCGGTATCGTTGACGTTGAAAAATGTGTGAATAAGAATGGGACGGGGCTCGCATTTCGCGCGCAAGGGCGAAATGTCGCTCTCACCTCGGCGTCGCGGTGATTCTTTCCAGCGAAATGAGCTCCTGCATGGGGGCGACGCGCACTTTCCTTGGCCAACAAAGAACATCATCGCGCGCGAGCGGACGACATGCCGCTATCGCCTCGGCTCTGCGTGGGTTTCAAAACTCACCCGAAAGCAGCGCTCACGCTCGGGCGCGAGGCATACCTCTTACTCGACAAGCCCTTGGGGGCGCGGCCGCGCGCGAGCGGGCGAGGTGTCGCGCACGCCCGACCGCCGTGCAGACTTCGCCTGGAAGTGGCGTTCCTGCTGCGGCGCGGCTGAGACGAAGCCGGGACGAGGACAAATTCAGACCACCTGGGGTCACGGCGCGTGCCAAGAGAGTCTTAAAAGGCCCCCCGGACCCCAGAGGGCTGCGAGTCGCCGAGAGGTCGCTCCCAGACGCCGAAGATTGCCTCCAGACGGCCCCAGAGGGCCCTAAAACGCCCGAAGAAGCCACCAAGAGGCGTTCCAAGAGGCCGTCCGACTCCTTAGAGGAAACGTGTATGTTTAGCACATTCGCTTCTTGGTCGGTCACGCGGCCCACAACAGCCCAAGAAACCTTCGAAGATCGACCCCAGGCAGCCCAAGAGACCCCCAAGAGGGCTCCAAGATGGCCCAAGAGGGCTCCAAGAGGGCACCAGAAACCACCACAACGGCCCAGGAGAGCCCCAGGACGGCCCCAAGAGGACCCCAAAATGGGCCAAGAGGGTCCAAAAAGGCCCCCCCGACGGTCCAAGAGGGCTACGACTCGTCAGGAGATCGCTCCAAGACGCCCGATTGCCTCCAGACGGCTCCAGAGGACGCCCCAAGAAGCCACCAAGAGGCATCCCAAGAGGCCCTCGAGAAACAAAAATCGTCTCATTCCGAACGGAAAGCGTGTAGTTTCAGCAGATTCGCCTCTTGGCCGTTCAGGAAGCCCATGACAGCCCAAGAAGCTTCCAAGATCGACACAAGATAGCCCCAGAGGCCCCCAGGAGGGCTCCAAGACGGCCCAAGAGGGCCAGAAGCCACCAAGGGGGGGCCCCAGGACGGCCCCAAGGGGGGTCCGAGGGGAAACCCGACAGAAGATTTCGAGCACTCGCCTCCGAGAAAACCTGAGGAGGCGCCAAGAGGCCCCCAAGAGGCCCCCGCGAGGACCCAAGATGCCCCCGAGAGGCCCAAAAGAATCCCCTAGAGGCCCCAACACGGCTCACCATCAAAAGTGCTGCCAGAAGGCCTCTGAGAAACACACTCCTCCTCCTCCTCCTCCTCCTCCCCCTCCTCATCCCCCTCCTCCTCCTCCTCCTCCCCCTCCTCCCCCTCCACCTCCTCCTCCTCCTCTTCCTCCGTCCTCGTCCTTCCTTCCATCCTCGTTCTCCTTCTCCTCCTCCCCCCCCTCCTCCTCCTCCTCCTCCTCCTCCTCCTCCTCCTCCTCCTCCTCCTCCTCCTCCTCCTCCTCTGACGAAGACGACGATGACGACGACGACGACAACGGCGGCGACGACGACGACGCAGATGTTCGTAGGCCTTCGACCTCCAGAAGCATTTCCTCGAGTTCAGCCTCCGGGGGCCGTCTTCGGGGCCCGGGGCCACCAGCAAGGGATCCAGGATGAAGATCGACCTCCCTGGGAGGTGCCACCCCTCCGCGGAGGGAGGAGCACGGGGGGGATCGAGGCTCGAGGCTTGCGGATCGTGGTTTTCGGGCGCTCTCCGCCCCCTCTGGGCCTTCAGGAAGCTCCTCGTCGCCACGGCTGGGTCCACTCTCGAACTTCCGGCCGGACGCACCCCAGCCGGGTCCCGACGACCCCCGAGCATATCCGGGGGGAGGACGTGGGAAACCTGGGACAGGCCCCCGGAGGCCCTCCAGAGACCCTCCAAAAAGAACAAAGTAAAATCTCAAAACAAGGCCCTCCAAGGCCCCCAATTGAACCCCACACGCCACCTAAGACGGGCCCAAGAGAAGCCCAATGAGCAAAGCCGCGAGATCCGCCGACCGTCCCCGCCGAAATCACCCCAAAAAGGCGAAACTCCCCAGCAATCGCGCGCGTCCCGCGCACTCCGTTCTTCACTCTCACTGCCGTCCCAATGGGTCGGCGGTGCGGAGTAAGCCAATGAATCTTCGACATCGGATGGACAATGTCTCGGGCGCCGAGGCCTTCTCAGAGCGTTCCGGAAGGATCTGAGAGCGTTCCAGAACGCCCTCGAACAGATCATGATCCTAGGTGAACGTTTTCTTATTCGGCGTTTTGACATTGGGCGGAAGGGGTGGGAGGCGGGGGTCTGGCTCCAGACCTCTGCTTAATGCGACTGTTTGCAACAGTGCGTCCTATCGGGGAGACTCCACCTGCTTGAAGCAGGCGCCAAAAACAGCCAGGATGGTACTCCAGGGGGGGGAGGGGGGTGCGAGGGCCAGCGCGGATCGGCAAAACAATGAAAAAAAAGAACTACTGGCCCCGTCCGAGTGGCGCATGTGTTTCGTTCCCCGAGTCGTGGGACAGCGGCTGCGGCAGCGGGGCTGCGCGCCGGAGCGGGCAAAAAGCGCCGTTCGGATATCCAAGCGCCGCGCAGATGTGGCGCAGAAGTGGAAGTGCTGCGGAGCGCAGCGCATGCCTCGTCTCGCAGCGCCGCCTTCTGGAAGGTCCTCTGGAGCCCCTTCACGGCCATTTCCCCCCCCCCCCCCGCCTCGCCAGGTCGTCGGAAGCGGAACCGCGTGCGAGCGCCTTCCGTTCGCCAGGTGGTGGCGCGCGCCAGTCCCTGTTCAAGTTGCGCCACCACAAAGCACTTTACTCTTATTCCTTCTCCTTTCTCCCCCGTCCTCCCCCTCCTCCCCCGCGGGTGTGCGACACGCGCCTGACTCTGTGAATCTGCGCTGCGAGCTGCGACCTCCTCCTTCACAAATGCTCAGCAAGAAGCCCTCCTCTCCTCCCCACCGAGGGGCTGACGCGGGCCTGGTAAGTTTCCCAAGCATCTGCGGCGCTCGAGATGTCTGCGCCGTGGCGGATGAGGGATTCCGCCACAGCAATGTTCTCCTTCATGAAGCTGACGGTCAGCGCCGTGTCGCCATCATCGTCTACCTCAATATTTATCTGCGAGGAAAATTCGGACCAATGAGCGGGCAAGATCAGAAAATGGGGTCGAATAGTAATGTGGGCCGGATCGGACTGCATCGGCATGGGGTCGAGATCGATTCAAACAGACTGTACCAACATGCACAACAGCGCCATGCGGACATCGAGGCGCATCGGGTCGTCGGAGCATCGGCAACGAATCAGATCGATCAAACCAACATCGATATCGGATCCGATCGATCGGATCGAGATGGAAATCGATGGAAGAGATCTGGAGTCGCCCGCGCTTGAGAAGAGCTCCCGGGGGCCTGACCGCCTCATCTTGGGGTGACACACTTGCACCCAAAGCCACGAGGTCACCCTCCTCCTCCTCCTCCTCCTCCTCCTCCTCCTCCTCCTCCTCCCTCCTCTCCTCCTCCTCCTCCTCCTCCTCCTCCTCCTCCTCCTCCTCCTCTTCCTCCTCCCTCATCCTCCCTTCCTCCTCTTCCTCCCTCCTCCTCCTCCCCCTCCCTCCTACTCCTCCTCCTTCTCCTCCTCCTCCTCCTCCTCCTCCTCATCATCATCCTTCTCCTCCTCCTATTCCTCCTCCTCCTCCTCCTCCTCCTCCTCCTCCTCCTCCTCCTCCTCAAGAAGAAGACATCATCAACGTCACGTCGATCGCACTTCCCCATCTGCGTGTCGCCGTTGGAGTAATACCAAGTGTTCGTACAACACTCCCTTCCGCCTTGGGGAAGCAACTGTAGCCCAAGGTGGGCCTACGGAGCGCACCAAGCGCGAGGCTGATGTTTCCTTTCTTCAGGGGCCGTTCAGACCGATGTTCCTCTAACCCCACCTGCTACAGAACGATGTTCCTCTAACACCACCTGCTACAGCGGGCACGAGGGTTAAGAACAAGCCTGCGTAGCATCGGAGGGGCACCCCCGTACGACTGCGGAAGCCCCCCGCTGATCGGAATCAGCGAGGCCCCCCCCCGCGTGTCGCTCTGTATCCCTTCCGCCCCGGGGAAGCCCTCCCCGAGTCCTCGGTCAGCGCAGGGCCTCGTGCGCCCGCCGCGACTGCCGAGCCGTGTGCAGCCGTCCTCGATGCCTCGCAGATCCTTCAGGTCAAACGCACCAGTTCGTAGCCTCGAGAGGCTTGATTAATCTTAGGTCGAGCATGTCCCCCTACAGGCGGATTTTGGACGAAACATAAAAAATTGCAAAACATATTAAAAACATCAAGCATTGGCTGAACGCTCGTTCCAATTCTATCTCTACTATTTCTGAAGATCCCTCCTGTAGAAGGACATGCCCGACTTAATATTAAGCGCAACTATATCGAGACGTCTGTGCTCGGGCAGAAGCTCCACGGATCCACCGTCGGTAAGTTTGGCTGACGGTCTACCACCGGCGCCCAGTACCCCGTAGACCTCCTCGGCGAGATAGGCTCAGAGGAATCGAGCACGAGCGGCGTGCCCAGCCTCCAAGTTTTTCAGGTTGTGCACGAAGGGGGGCAGGTGACTTGCGGAGCTGGCCGAAAGCATCCAGGATAGAACACATAAAGGTCGCTCTCAAGGCTGGCTGAGTCCTGCGAGCCCCACGGGGGGGGGGTCTGAACCTTCTGAAGGTTCTTGTTGGGGCATCCCTCCCCAGACCGACGTCACGCCGACTCCAGCAATAGACCCTGAGGAATGATAATAAGCAGAGAAAGAAAACGAGAGGGAAGAGACAAAGGAGGGAGGAGAGGGGGGATGCAACCTGAAGCATGGCGACGAGAGACGTAAGAAGGCAAATAGAGGGGGGCTAGACAACGAGCATATTCCGGAAGGCGACGTCGAAAACTGATCCCAGAACGTATCGTACGCAGGGAAACGGTCGAAGGACTAGGGGGAGAAACAAGGAAAAAGCTGCTGGAAGAAATGGGAGAAAGGGGTAAGTAAGGGAAAGGGGATGGGGTAGGAGGGGGAGAAGGAAAGAGTTCCGCAAGCGTCGGCCGCAGGGCTCACAAATACGTCCTTGAGGACGTACGGGGGTGCTATCAAGACCCTGTGATGGGTCCGTATTGGAATCATGTTGATGCTTTTGTTGTTTTGGAACACTGTACAAGCAATCGACGGCACATTAAGGATAACTTCGGCTGTAGTGGGGCCGACCTGGGCAATCCGAGGGCCGACTTGGACCGTCTTGCGGTCCTCTTGGCATCTTCTTGACCTCATCAGGACACCCTCAGGTCCCTCTTCTGCTCTCCTGATCTTCTGAGGCGGTCCTGGGCAATGTCGGAGCCCTCCTGGTCCTCTCATGGAGCGCCTTTTGGCACACTTGGGCAACACATGGGCGGCTCGAGAAGCATTAGAAAACAATTCAGCTCGATTGAACGGCCACCTCACCGGACTAGTCCGTATGAGGCTTGGGATTGAGCCAGAGTGAGCGGGATGAAGCCAAACTAAACTGGAATGGCCCATACTAGATCAGTCATCGACCACGAACAAAAACCAGCGCCGACACAGAATTTAACCTCCCAGGGGATGCATTCTAAGAAACATATCCATCCGATGAACCAAACAACCCTAACCCTTTGGGAGGCGACCTAAGGTAGGAGGGCCAACAACGCTAGGGACACGGAGTCTTTTCTGCAGAGTTTTCGGACCAAACCGCCCAGATGTAGATTCCCTCATGCGAAGACGAGGACCTCAGTGAGGCCGCAACTTCACCCTGTTATCAGGAGTAAGGGTTCTTCGATCCTCACTGATGAGAGGCATCCATTGGAGCGCTCCCCTCCCAACGGGAAGCCGGTGTCGGTGTTGGTCCGCGCCGTGCGTGCGGACGGGGCGGCGCTGCGCGGGGGGGAGAGGGGTGCTGCCATGCTGGGGCACACCTCTGGCCATGCTGCTCGCCGGCCCGAAGTCGCCACGGCTGCCCCGGGCGATCCAGTTGCCCCGTGGGTGCCCCTTGGTTGCCCCGTGGTTCCCCCGTTGGTCGGGCGACTGGGTTTTCGTCCCGTGGTTGGCCCGTGGTTGCCGCGCGGCAGTCCCGTCGCTGCCCTGTGGGAGCGTCGCGGGTGTTTCACGGTTAGGTAGAAAGCGAGAGAATGAGACAGGTACGATGTGTCACAGGTCGAGTCGGAGGAAGCGTGAGAAGTGTAAGATTGTTGTTCCTTGTCCCATGTTTGATGGTCATGGCAGGAATGCCAGGACCATAGGCAACTGTCGCAAGACAGGGCCTCAGCGGTGCAATCCCTGAGCTCCTCCCTGCCAGGAGCGAGCGTCGAGGGCTGCCTCCCATCAGGAGATCCGCGGATCGGCCACTTCGCAGACACCATGCTCCCTGCAATGTATATACTTGGATTCTGAACCAACAATGAATAGGTCAGCTCTGCAGATGGTACGCAATATTACTCGAGTCGTAAGACATGTTGTAAGACATATGGCACCTGGAGGACTCATAACAGTCAAATATGCATGACGACTTGGAATATATGTGATTGCGCGATGATCAAGGAGTAGGAAGGGACACGTAGAAGTGTCTGAAAGCTTACAACGATCGGAGGGGTTTCAAAGGTCCCATTATGCAACGCACATGGGACATGCCAAGCTATTCCGCGCGTTCGCAGGGCCATAGGTTTGCATTGAAAAGTGAAGATATAAAGGGCTAACAAGACTCAACAACTACCATGCGCGACAAGAACGCGAACGCGGTTGCACTTGAAAGCCGCTTTCTTCCACCCCTGACGTGTAGAAGGGAAGCACGCCACACCAGAGGAGAGGAGGAAGTAGCGAGGCGGAGAAGGAGAAGAGCCGACCATTGATAACCCAAGACGCATTGACGATGTTGCAACACACCCTCCCTCCAAGCTGCTTCTTCATACGCCCCTACAATAATTCGCCTTCATTACGGGAAGTGCCCGATGGGAAGACAACAAACCGAGAGTCTTCAATCGTGCCCAAACCCGATCCGCGGAACTTCGACGCAGGGAATGGGCCTGAGTGTTGCGTCCGAACAATTCTAAACTGCGCCAGAACACGAACGCGCGCTGCGGTGAAACGTCAAAAGCATGTTGAAAACGGGCCGTCCTCCGTCCTTGAAGATGATTGATATTACCCCGACATCATGCACAATCGGGAAGTCTAAAGCTAAACGCCCGCCCCGCCCGAGAATTGCTCTTAACCGTATGCACGATACCAGAATACAGTACCAGACTAAAATACCAGACTAAAGTACAATACTAAAAGAACCAGACTAAAATACTAGATTAATCAGACTAAGGTACCAGACTAACGTACCAGACAAATATACCTTAGTCTGGTACTTTAGTCTACTTAGTCTGCTACATTATTCGGGTACATTAACCTGATTGGTCTGGTACATTAGTCTGGTACGTTATGCGGGTGAGTTGGCACAGTAGCCTGGTACATTAGTCTGGTACTTTAGCCTGGTACTATAGTCTGGTACGTAAGTCTGGTGCTTTCGTCTGGTACTCTAGTCTGGGTCTTCTGCCTGGCACATTAGTTTGATTAATATGGCAGGTACATGCGCCTGATGAGTCTGGTACATTCGTCTGGTACATTAAACTGGTAATTTAGAAAAATAATGAAAGCGCGTTTCTGGCGATGGGGTTGGGTGGGTGGGGGGGTACAACATAACGCCCCCCTCCGCCGTGTGGCTCCAGCACCACAGCCGCCCCCGCGCGCACGACGCGACAAGCGACGACGACGACGACGACGCAAACAACATGTAGGTGGCGATCTGCCCCACTGCGCTTGTGTACGCCACAACGCTCGCGTGCACCACAGCGCGCGTGTACACCACAGCGCCTGCGCACACCGCAACAACCGTGTGCAACGCAGCGACTGTGTACTCGAAGTGCTTGCGTACCTACAGCTCTGGTGTACACGTGCACACCGCAGCAACCATGTGCAACACACCGTCTGCGTACACCACAATGCTTGCGTGCACCGCAATGCCTGTGCACGCCACAGCGCCTGTCTACAACACATCATCCGCGTGCAACGCAGCGCTTGTGTACACCACAGTGCCTGCGTACATATGACAGGTAGAAGGATCATGTATGTGAGGATCTGCTGCGGACAAGAAAACGCCACGCCAGGAAAGTGCTGATAATCGAATACGACGTTTTTCCCTCCTCCCTCCTCCTCCACCTCCACCTCCTTCTCCTCCTCCTCCTCCTCCTCTTCCTCCTCCTCTTTACCCCCTGTCGTGCGGGTTGGCGCCACAGCTCACGTGCGCATCTCAGCGTGCACCGCGGAGTTGTCCATTGAATCGGTGCACTTGGTTCTCGGACGGCCAATTTAGCTGGAGCCTCCTGGACGCAGATTGGAGGAGTTAAGGTGGTGCGGGCGGAATCGGGAAGACTCGTAGATTCAAGCGGCGCTCCTTGAATCCACAAGCGCTCCATTTTGTCACAAGGATCCCTTCCAACATGCAATACGCAACAGCACACGGTTGCTGTGGTGCACACAAGCGCCGTGGTGCACACGGGCACTGCAATGTACGCAGGCATTGTGGTGTACACTGGTGCTGTGTTGCACACGGCTGATGTGGTGTACGCAGGCGCTGTGGTGTACACAAGAGCTGCTCAATTGTGCCCGCGGGCACGGTGGCACAAACTGACGCTGTGTTGCACGCGGCTGCTGCGGTGTACATAGGAGGTATGGTGTACACAGGCGCTGTGGTACACGCAGGCACCCCGGTGTACACAAGCGTTGTGGTGCAGATCGCCACCTACATGCTGGTGCCACCCGTCCTCCACCATTCCTAGGCATTGCCAGACGCCGCCGGCGCGAAACGTTACGTCATCGACCCCATACCCCCCCCCCCAGATGATTGCCGTCATCGACCCGCAAGGAAAAACAGGCTCCAGCCGCGTCCGCGCGCACGACGACGATGAGCGACGAGCAACGAGCCACGCCAATGCGCACGGCGGCAATGCCCGGAGCGCACTGGGGGGCGAGCACTACGTCATAGGGGGGGGGGCGGGGGCCATGACGCCGGTCATGCCCCAAACAATAAAGAAACACGGGCTCTAAAGTCTGGTACCGTTAGTATGGTAATTAAGTCTGGTACTCTAGTCTGGTACCACCAATCTGGTACCGCTAGTCTGTTACCGCTAAACTGGTACTGCTAGTCTGGTACTGCTAGTCGGTTACCCCTACTCTGGTACAGCTAGCCTGGTACTTTATCCTGGTACCGCTAATCTGGTTTTGTAGTCTGGTGCTGCTAGTCTGGTACTGCTAATATGTTACCCGTTAGTATGGTACCGCTAGTCTTGTACCGCTAGTCTGGTACTGCTAATCTGTGACCCCTACTATGGTACCACTAGTCTGTGGTACCACAAATCTGGTACCGCTCGTCTGGTACTTTAGTCTGGCACTTTAGGTACCACACTTACGGTAAAGAACCCGCCGTTTACGGCTAGGACCTCCTCTCGGCACCGACACGCCTGGGGGTGCGGCAGAGAAGGGTTAGTTCAAAGGAAAAGGGATGGAGACGGAGGAATGATGAAGGACATGCAATCATCATGCTGGCATTGCTTAGTCGGCTTCAGAAACAGCTAAGTCAATCCACCACATGGCAAAGAGCGTCAAGCATGTTACACACCCAAGATCAACATGCAAAAGGACAAGGTTATACAAACGAACCAGGGTAACCATGCATATACACAGTGCGAGCAATATCGGAATAATCAGAAGTGCTGGACAACGTTAGGCAAGGCTGGAGGTGCTTAAAGAAGCCAGGCGAATGAGCCAGGATATATTGAAAGCTCAAGGGCGTAAAAGTGATACGTGACAGCTGGAAGAGCAAGTCATTTGACGAACTTGCGCAGGAAACATCGCAAAACGAACGCCACACACAGCTTCCAAAACAACTTCAACACAAGAACACGTCGCCGTACATGGGACATAAGCCCAGCCTGAGGACAATATGGCTAGACAACATTCAAACTGTTTCCAAATAACCACGGGACAACAATGACACAACTCTGACACACCATCGTGGGACAACCGCACGGGACCAGCACGGGTAAACGACGGGATAACCGAAAATCAGCCGTCGGACGAAACCAACGGTGAACTGGAAACACTATTGTCAACTTGCCCCGGAGCTGCGCCTGTTATGGACGATCCCTCGATCGTGCAGATTCGGCTGGCCAACGCGCGCGACGTAATCCGAAGAAAACATGAAAAATCAAAACCGACGTCATGTCTGGGTCTTCTCTCTTCCACCGTCTAACCTGCAATGCGCCAGTCGCGCATTAAAAACATAACGGTGACAAAAACCAAACAGACACAGAACAGGAGGAAACGATGCCTCCTGTTGGCGGCGAGCGGGGGGGTGATGTGAGAAAGATGAGCCTTCTCAGAAGGCGACGGGGCTTCTCAGATGGCCTCCGGCCTTCTGAGAGGCGTTTGTCTTCGGGGACGGCTTAGAAAGCTTCTCGGGTTCGGAAGCCCTTTGAGAAGGCCCACCCATTCTCCCCCGGGCTCGCCGCCGATTCTGTGACTGGACTCATGCGGAAGCTGAGCTCTCAGCGAAGGCGCACCCGCCTGCAGAGAAGGCCTGCCCTGCTGCTCCTGGCCGCCCACCGCCAGGCACCACCAGCTCCAAAGAAACATAGGATTCGACCATGTTTGGCTCGATCCGTTGACCATCAACGTGCAGCAGTGTCATATATCCGGTACGTTTTAGCTTCAACTGGCAGCTCCAGCTTCGGCTCCAGGAGGTGTCCCCCATACCGTATGTGAGCTTCAGCGCTGCTTCTAGAAGTCGCAGGATCACCAACTCCGTCGCACCCCCCTTCCCCCGTTGCGAGCGCTGCTGCGCGCGCACGGGCTTGGCGCAGGAAACGCGCCCCACCGTGCGGGGGCGTGCGAGGAGGGAGCGAGGGTGAGCCAAAGGGGGACCAGCTCGACGATACCAGGGTGCGGATAAACATGGGAACAGCTAAACGATGGGGGGGGGCCAGCTCAACGATACACGATCGATAGTGAGGACCAGCTCGGGGGGGAGACATCGAGCTGGAATCGGCGACACATCGCCGATGGACCAGCGATGGGCCCCGGGCAGCGGAGCCGCGCGTGCCTGGGCGGGGTGGGGGCACCGGGCCCCGATCGGCCCGGCGCAGAGTGGGCGATGGTGGGTCGATGCTTTCCCCCCCGGGCCTGCTCCCTCCTGCCTTTGCCCCTGAGGGAGGAGGGAGAGGAGGTTGGCGGCGCGCAGAGGGGGGGTAGGGGGAGGGGGGGAGGCTTCTTAGAAGGGGGCTGCTTCTTAGAAGGCGCCGGCCTCACATGTATAGAGAAGGCCCGCGCCTTCTAAGAAGCAGGGGTGCTTCTGAGAAGCCCTCTCCCCTCACCCCACCCCCCTCTGCGCGTGGCCGAGGAGGAGGCCTGGTCCAGGTCCGCCCCGTGCTTCAGCATCAGCTCGATCGCAGCCTGGCGCGCCCAAGCGGGCCAGCGCTGCTTCCCCGTCCCGTCCACAGGGATGCGCCGAGGAGGAGGGCGAGGAGAGGGGGGTGAGGGGGAGAGGAGGGGGTGAGCTGAATCGAACCGACACCCCCGCAGCGAGAGCAGTCCCAATCTGCTGGCGCGAGCGTTCAGCGCCGCAGCACTCGGCTCGAAATGGTGTGGAGCCCGTTCTCGGAGATGCTGCGCGCAGTCGCCAACGGAGCTTGCGTACCGGATTATAGAGCGCCTGCGGGCGGCTCGACAGGTCTGCAAAGCAAGCAAATACCAAGCAGTAGTACGACAACAACGCATTGCGAGGGGAAACACCACCGCAACGAACGCCCGAACCGCACGCACTTTGGCCCGTGAGCCGCCTCGAGCGGCGTACTCTTCGTCCTGACCGTGAGGACAACATAGTGTTTCCCATTCGTGGCGTTCGAAACCGTGCACCTGCGAACACCTGCGCACCGTCACATGGCGGCGCGCACAAGGGGGTAGGGGTAGGGGGGGATACTTCCTAGAAGCAGGCTGCTTCTTGGGAGGCGCTAGCATTGCATCTGTAGATCAGGCCCGCGCCTTCTCAGAAGCAGGGGTGCTCCTAAGAAGCCTTTCCCCCTGCCCCCTCTGTGCGTGGCCGAGCCATGGCACTTGTGGCCAGCTGCACTGTCGGTCGGCGGCCACCTCCCGGCTGGGCCAGACGCGGCCGTCTGCGCGCAGCTCGAGGCACGGCACCGCCGCAGAACGCACAAGACTTTTTGCCGTCGGCGGCGAGGCAGAGGCGATCCGCTCCAGCCTGCGGCTCTTCGGGGCAACCGACAGGCGAATTGGCCGGCATGCAGGAGGGGGGAAGAAGCCGAGGGCAACCACCGCAAGACACTTTTTGCGTCGGCGGCTGGGCAAGGGTCGCTTACGCTGGCGGAAGAAGCTGACTAAACGGGGGCACCGTTGTAGCGAATTGGCCAGCATGCAGGAGGAGGAGGAGGAGGAGGAGGAGGAGGAGGGATTGACGGGCCTGTTTTCCACCACCACCACCATAAGTTGGAGGGGGAAGAGGAGGAGGAGGAGGAGGAGGAGGAGGAGGAGGAGGAGGAGGGATTGACGGGCCTGTTTTCCACCACCACCACCATAAGTTGGAGGGGGAAGAGGAGGAGGAGGAGGAGGCGGAGGAGGACGAAGAGGAGAAGGAGGATCAATCAAATCAATCAACCATTGCGAGCCTCTGTCACTCAGCAGTCCTGGTGACCTCTGCAGGCTCTTGGATGCGAACTATCGCCTACCAGCGGCCGACGCTGGAAGGATGGCCCTCTCTGGCCGAAGCGGGACCGCTGTAAGGGGAACGCCCAGCGGCCCGCACGCGGCACCATCCTTCGTGAAAGGAACAAGCACGGGCGGACAGAGCAGGGGAAGGAGGGAGGACAAGTGAGCAAGGTCGCAACGCTTCTCACTTCTCTCTTGCAATATGGAAAACCCCGAGCCTGGGCGGCCCGCACTGCCGCGGCCCGCACTGCCGCGGCCCGCAGCGGACTGGTAAAGAAATGCCCCGCCGGATTTTGATTCCCGTTGCTCTGTGTCTACAGGCGACCCCAATGCCAGAGTCACTCTGCTGGCGGCATGGGATTGGGGTGGAGATATCTACTAGCGGCACGATTGCTCTGATTCGGCACTGTCTCTACATTGACTTCTAGAGCCTGGCCGGCCCGCACTGCTGCGGCCCGCACTGCCGCGGCCCGCAGCGGACTGGTAAAGAAATGCCCCGCCAGATTTTGATTCCCGTTGCTCTGTGTCTACAGGCGACCCCAATGCCAGAGTCACTCTGCTGGCGGCATGGGATTGGGGTGGAGATATCTACTAGCGGCACGATTGCTCTGATTCGGCACTGTCTCTACATTGACTTCTATTCTGCGCACCTGCTCACTACGCTGCTGGAACTCTTCAAATGACATGATGGCGGGGGGATCTGCACTGCCAACCTGATGCAACAAGACACTGCGACTGCCGTTAAAATACCTGAGGATGGGGTGGTGGACGCGGGCCTGCAGGGCCTGTAATTGTATGCCCGTGAGGCGGCCTTCCCTATACATCTCTGCCATACGCTCAGATCCGTTCACTGCTTCAAGACGCAACGGCCTCAGAACCCCTCCCCGTCCTGGTCGCTGTCTACCTCGATGGTCTGCCTGTCGCTCTCGATCCCCATGCGCTTGAGCAGCCTCTCCGCCTCTCTCTCCAGCGCCCCCTTGGGGGGTCCGCCCGCCTTGTACTCCCCGCCCTGCTTGAGGATTGCCATGCAGAAGGCCTGGTGGAGCGGGATCGTGTTGGTCTGGTCGGAGGTGTTCCTCACTCCATTGACCTGGGAGTTGGGGCTCATCATGAACTGCAGCTTGAACCTGGTCGGCTTGTCGTCCTTCTTGCGGTCGTACCAGCAGCCCTTGATGCGCAGGAACCTGATCTGCTTGTCGTCCTCCTTGCTGAGGCTCGTGATCACCCCCCAGTAGGTCTTGAACGCCTTGATCGACGGCTCGTCCAAATTCGTCATCTGGCAGAAGTGCTTCAGGAGAGCCAGGAAGACGTGCGGCCACGGGGGGCCGTTGCCGTGCTGCTTGCCCTTCTTCTTGCAGTCCTGGGCGTAGGCCTTGCCCGCCCGCTGCATGATGCCGATCAGCGGGGCGCCCGCGGGGAGCAGAAAGCACGTGAAGCAGGCGCCTGTGAGGTCGGCGAGCTCCCTGGAGTTCGTGATACTGAGCTTCGCGAGGATGGCGAGCAGCGCCTTGAAGTTGCCCATCTTGAGCCCGTCGCGCTTGACCTGCTCGGCCAGCCGCCCCTTCTTGTTCTCCTGGGCGTCCGAGGTGTCGCCCAGCTCCTTGCGCTTGTTGGCCGTGCCGATGATCATCCAGTCTGGCGTTGCCGCCATCTCCGAGCCTCCTGCTGCCTCTTGCTCGTTGGGCCTCGCCGCTGCTGCCGCGCCCTCTCCTGGCATCGTCGAGTGCTGGGAGGTGGAGAAAATGCGTACGGATGTGGGCTCGCAGCGGAGCCCCAGCAAGTATTTGAGCCTTACACAATGGGCACTCATCAGTGTTGTCCTGGCCTGGATGTTTGAAGGTCGTACTTCTTTGTGTGACGCATATACCCGTTTCGAAGGAGTCGATGAGGTGCTTATAGACCGAGTTACGGCTCTCGAAAACGCTCTCGCAGACAAAACATACATTAGAAGTAACTGCCAGACCAAGGATAGATCTGAACTCATGCCCCCTGCTGAGGTGAACCAATAACTGCCTGGAGGTATGGAAAGAACGAGTACATCCTGGTACTGAACATGGTAACATATCTCCTGCTGCTTGTGGCGGGTCGGGTCGTGATTCCTGAGGCTGAGGATGAGCATATCCAGGAGGGGGGATAGCTACACTTAACCACTTAGCTCGCAACTTCTTTGGGTCAAACTGGGTGAACCATTCGACTAAGCTCTCGTCCTGGAATATTCTCATTGGACTGCTATCAAATTCTTGTACATGTTCATATTCGTCATCTCCTAAGTCAGCCAGGGAGTTAATATCTGATATTACTCTACGAGCCCAGGGGCAAGCATCTTCTGTAAGACGCTCGTCCTGTCCAACGATCTGCACTCCTCTCTGCGACTCGATTTGCATGGTGCCAAACAAAGCTGCCCATTCTGCCAGGTGACGATCAGGTTGTTGAACCCAGCGCTGATACCACTTGATACGCCGTGCGCGCAGTTCGATCTCAAGTGGTGCCATCTTCCAGTACCTACAAACCTCTTCGTTACTGATCGAAACCTTATGCCCGTTCTGCTCCTTAGTGGCCAGCCCTCGCATAGCACGTCTAGCATACATATTTACTCTGCTCTGCAATCGCTGTAGTTGAGCAGGCGTTGGGAGGAAAGCCTCGACGCCTGATAACGCAGACCCTAGGACACGACATAGGAAGACAGCACGTCGTTCAACATAAGGGACTCGTGCCTGGTACCAGAATCTCCCCATACTGTGATAACCAACATCAGTGGCCCTAAGCCTATTTTCCAGTTCAGAAGAGAAAGCTCCATCACCTCTAACGATACTACCCAGGTACTTAGCAGAATCTTTGGGTTGTCCAGCTAACCTAATATTGCCAGTCCGTATTTGTTTTCTGCAGTTCTGAGCTTGATCCCCAAAAAGTGCAAGCACTGTTTCATTTTTTGTTGGGTTAAGTTGATAGTTGTGTTCAGTCAGTCGTCGCGATAACAAATCATCGTACTGCAAGGACTGCCTGCTGACCTCCTGCGCCAAGTCTGTCGTCTGGTCCGCAATAAGTAACTTCTTGGCGGCATCATCTACATATGAATGAAATGATAGGTCCATAACCATCTCCTGATCATCATCTGCTGGGAGCCTGACCGTGCACCACGTAGCTGTTTCGTCCTGGGAGTTATGATGATCCTGCTGTGCTCGCGCGAAGACCCCTCCTATGTCTCGTGTGAATACCTTAACTACCCAGGGATCTCCTTGTAGCGCTCCAACCGTAGGCTTGGCGAAAAAAACCCCATCCAGCCCCGAGAAACACACCGTGGATAACTGCAGCCTCTGGACCCCAAACCTAGCCTCCCCCTCCTTCATGATGCTCTGGTTGGCCTCCAGGATAGCCTCACGAGAACTGCTACCGAACGCGTTCGTGATGTCCTTATGCTCCGTGACATGCCGTATCCCTAGCCTCCTAAGCCTCCATCCAACTGACTGCTGGATCATGATGGCCGTCTCGCGGCGCCTCCTGGGAACACAACCGTGGGCGAACTCGGGTTCCTGGGTGATCTGCACTGGGTCCAGGCTGGTGGCGATGAAGGCTTTGCCAAAGGGGCACAAAACGTGTATGACCCTCTTCCAATTAGTGGCCACCCCCATCGACAAGCTCCAGACTGCTGGTGGCTGACTACTTCGATATATCTTATGTACAAATATCACCAGGAATCGCCTTAGAGCACGCAGATCAAGGTCTGGAGCCTG